GTTTACCTGCATATGTATATATGTGGGTGTGTGTAGATGGGAAACCGACAGAGAGCCATCAGGAGGGCCAATAGAAGTGTTGAAGGCGGCAGAAGAACATGTGACATGAAAATAGAGAGGAGGCCACTGCTGTTGAAAAATCAACGGGGCGGGGGGGGGGGGGGGGGACAGGGAGTTGGGAGAAGAGGTGGGAAGGAGAAACAGCAAAACCAAGTTTTGCTTGAAGATACCATAGTGAAATCTAATGCTTTGTATGGTAGCTAAAAAGTAGTGTCTTTCTGAAGTTTGGAAGAACACAGAGTATAAGAATGCTCCAGTCAGCATAGATAGCCCATAGACATTTATATTGATCCAATTGCTGTTAATTCAAATACCTATTGGAATGTATTAAATGTGTTGTTTTGTTTTGTTTTTGTAAATGCTAGAGTGTCCTCCCTTTTGTTGGATTATCCTTCCTCTTGCTCCGTCGCCTTACCTAGTTTCCCCACCAGGGCCTTCCACGGCAGCATTTCCAAGTGTGTTGATTGGAGACCGATCATGGGAGAAGGTAGAGGGTGGGCTGATAACTAGTTAACCAGAGTTTTCTAAAGCACATTTCCAAGTGTGTTGATTGGAGACCGATCGCCGGAGAAGGTAGAGGGTGGGCTGATAACTAGCTAACCAGAGTTTTCTAAAGCACAAACCGGTGCTGCTCTCATCTTCATGAGCTCTCTGACAGCGTGTAGCAGCACCTTACTTGTTTGTGGCTGAAGAATGAATGGTTGGGTTATGAAAGGACAGTGGCCTAGGGAGAATGCTATCACCTTAGATCTGGAGGAAGTGCTTCGTGGCTGGGCTGTAGCAGTCCACTCTGTTCACTCTGTTGTTCTCACATATATTTTTAAAGATCTGATCTACCCATTGTATTTGCTATTCTTCACCTTATAGATATAACTACAAACAATTTTTAACTAAGTGGGGCATGCTTGTCCAACAGAGATCTGTTTTACCTTTCTCTGCTTTGTGTTTAGTTTTGTTTTTAAATCACCTGGAGCAAAATTTTCATCTCCCTTGGGTTGGATGCCACCTAGTTCTGGGCCTTGACACTTCACCTTGCATCTATCTGTTGCTCGGAAATGTGAAGGCTTTTTATTACCACATGAAAAGATCATTAGGAAAAGTACATCGACTGCCAAAAGTTATGTCAGTATATAAAAATCACATCAAGCAGTCCAAAATACTTTAAATTTTGAATTATTTATCCTTACTAAAGTTTCATATAATTTATTAAAGTTGGTGAAAGGTGCTCACATTATAAAAGTAAATGGTTTCAAGTGGTCATTAAAGAAAATGGTGACAGCTATTGACTGAAAACCAAAAGAACCTTTAATAGAAGTGTAGAAAAGTCATATTCACGGTCACATTATCTGGGATTCAATGCTGGCAGATTGTTCCCAGGTCTTCAGGGAAAGAGAATTTAGATGATGTGTGGATGCTGTTTTCATGTGGCTCCATTTCATAATACCTTGACACAGGAAGCTGGTTGGCATCATTTAATGAAAGTAAACTGCTCCAAGCACACTTGCTTAATAAACATATAGAACCTTTGTATAGAGCCTGTAAACTTTAAATATTGGTATTCCATCTAGTCATGTTTAAGACATTTACTTCTATATCACCAAGTACTGTCAGTTACAGAAAGGGGCTGGGGGCCCTGGGAAAAAGGACTCATTTTAGATCAGAGGTAGGAAAGTTACCAGTTGAGCCTGGAACATTTTGTCACAACAGAAATTAAGAAATGACTTTATTAAAAGAAATGAAAACCCAAGTAAGCATAGGCACTTGCATACTTTTCTTTTATAAGTCCAGATATAAACTACAATGGACTAAAGTATGTCAAGTTTGCTAAAACTCTGATTTCGTGGCTATACTTCATAAAGAAAAATAAAAATCATGTTGGCCAGAGAATATTCAGGAAGCCCCATTACAGTACAGAGTACAGGAGTAGTCAGGGCATGCTCTGTGTTGTGTCCATGTTCTGACCTCAGGCTCTCTCAGAAGGGGGATTCCTCTTTGTGGGGTCACTGCACATAAGTTAAGAATGACCAACAGACAATAGCTAGGCAAATATCACAATGTCTACAGCATGATAAAACGAGTCAGACCAGTCTCTGATTACTAGGGAAATTTCAGACACTGCATGAAGGAATCTTCCACCTCACTCCCTAGATTAGGGCCTGAACCAGACACAATTTATAGATCACATCATAGGGTACAGGAAAGCAAAGACCGGAGCAGCATCAAACCACACCAGTGTGGCCGAGTGGACACATCCGGATTTGGAAATTCTGCCAAAGGACATATTTCTTTTGATAGCAATTACAAGTCTCTACATGAAAGACTAGAAATGAAGACAAGCCTGCAGTTAATAGCAAAGGAATAAGCCACCAAGGAAGTACAGTGTGTACTCAGTATGTGAATTCATAGTCAGACTAAGACAGAAATGACCAGCCATTTTTAATATGACTTCCATATTAAAAACAATGGCCATTTCAGTGTTTTTATTGTCTCCATCTTTCCAAAACACACTGAAATATCTTTAACTGAAATGACTCGATGCTTGCCATTTACTGTAAAATGGTATGGCCTGCAGGTCCAGGAATGGGACTGGCCAAGGGCAGTTGATGGAACTGTAAGTAAAGCAAGCCTGGTGGAGAATTGATTGTCTCTGAATCCAAGATGTAGACTGTCCTAGTTAGGTTTCTGTTGCTGTGAGGAGACACCATGGTAACGGCAAATCTTACAAAGGGAAACATTTAACTGGGGTTGGCTTACAGTTTCAGAGGCTTAGGCCATTATCAACACGACAGGAGCATAGTGACTGCAAATAGGCCACCGTGCAGATAAGCATGGTGCTGGAGAGTTCTACTTCTTGATCCAAAGGCAACAGGAGGTGCACTTTCTCGGTGGGTGTGGCTTGAGCATACGTGAGACCTCAAACCCTGCCTCCTTAGTGACACACTTCCCAATAGTGCCTCTCCCTTTGGGGGCCGATTTCTTTCAAACCACCACATAGACACGACTGGTTGGTTATTCTGCTCCATTTCTTTTTTGTGTATATTTGATTGTTGCTGAAATAAACTTTAATATGCCTCTATCATATATGTATATAGATACTCTGTGAAATTGAATGTGAAGTTAGAATTGCAAAGTGTTCAGATGTTACAAAGAACCCTTTACTAGCACACACCTGTTAGAAGGGGCAGCCCCCCCCCCAAGACACTGGCACTTCAAGTACTTATAAGAATGGTTCTATGAGATAATGTGGAAAACTACAAGGTTGCCGCCTGGAGGGCGTGCTCAGTGGTTAGGAGCACCGGCGGCTCTTGCGGAGGATCTAGTTTGGTTCCCAGCACCCACAGTGAGCCACTCACACCCACCTGCAATGCCTGCTCCAGGGGACCCAGCAGCCTTTTATCCTTCAGCGAACACTACACGTATATATGCTCGCCCATGTACACACACACACCAAAAAATAATAAAATGAATCTTTTTGGGGTTATTTTGTTTGTTTGTTTGTTTTTTCAAGACAGTTTCAGTGTAGTCCTTGATGTTCTAGAACACACACTGTGGACCAGGCTGGCCTTGAACTCACAGAGACCTGCCTGCCTCCACCTCCTGAGTGCCGGGATTAAAGGCATGCACCACCGCCACCCTGCAAAATGAATCTTTTTTAAAAAAGAAACAAGTGGCAGTGGTGCACAGACTTGTAAGCCTGGTAACTTAATGAGCCACATAGACTTAAGGTCAAAAGGGAGACTCAAGAGTCTCAGAGCCTGAAGAACTTTGGAGTCTGGAGGGGAGAAATGTGAAGTGCTACCACCGGAAAGAATTACATGAACAGTGATCCAAATAGACCGTTACTGGGAGCCGAGGGGAGAAAGGGCAGCAAGTGGGTTTGGCCTGCTGCTCCCTCTAGAGCTCAGCTGTTGAAACTTCCCACTCCAAACCCCTTTGCAGCTGAGAAATTTTTACCTGAGCTCAGCTAGGTAGGTAAGTAAAATAGGTACAGGGAGCAGACATTTATGACAGTAAGTCCAGTAAGTCGGTTTTGTTTGTTTATTTTGTTTGTTTTTTTAAGATACTTTATTTCTTTAACAGTCTTATTTTACATATCAATCCCAGTTCCCTCTCCCTTCTATCCTCCCATGTCCCCCACTGAACCCCCCTCATCCCATCCCCCATCCGCTCCCTAGGGAGGGGTGTGACAGTAGATCTTAAAGAACTGTACAACAGTCCTTGGATATGCCTGTGATTTTACCATGAAGCTGGGCACAATGGCTCACAACTCTGAATTTAGCAATGGCAAGCAGAGGCTGAAGTTCACTGAAGGTTCAAGGCTAGCCTGCTCTACATAGGGAGTTCCAGGCCAGCCAGAGCTAGATAGTGAGATCCTGTCTCAAAAAAAGAAAAGAAAGAAGAAAAAAAAAAAAAAGATGAAAGCAAATTTGCATACTAGAGATGAATGTGCTTGTTGGTCGTAGCACAATACAATCCAGAAATGCATTGATACTCACAAGCAGGAAAGTATTAAAAGGCTTGTTTTCTATAATTAAGCCAACATGTTTCTGTAAGAGTAGAAAGTTTTGTATGTACATCAAAAATAACTGCATTTGGCAAAGCACAAAATCCGAGCCAGGGGGCTTTAGGCATTTCAAAGGTGTCACATACACATACATGTGTTCAGAGTGGAGGCTGCAATGACAACTTCTGATGCAACATGGTCAAGCACCGCCAGGGACTCTGTGGATCCAGTACACATCTGATTATGAACTAACTGTTGGCTGTTGCACGTTCAGAAACCATTTATAAGTGCCGGATTTTTCACCACCCCCCTCTGCCATTCTACCTCCCATGCGGGGTCAGGACCACGTGAAGGAACCTTGATTACCTGTCTTTTTCTTTCCAAGGTAATTTTTTTTCTCATGAGTAAATAAGTGTATTCATTTGTTTTGTCCTAGTTGGGGAATGGCGGTCAATGTGTATTCTACCTCGATAACCCAGGAGACTATGAGCAGGCATGACATCATCGCATGGGTTAATGACATCGTGTCTCTAAACTACACAAAAGTGGAACAGCTCTGTTCAGGTAAGATATTGTTTTTGTTTTTGTTTTTTTAAATTTACCTAATGTGTTTACTGGCAATTGAATGTGATTTTTATGAACCACACATGACATATTTGGGGACATAATTAAAAGGGGAAACTTGGCTGTAATTGAAAAACATATTGGGGGAGGGGTGAGAACATGTAAGGTCACACAGCCATCCAGATGGGCATATGAGCGGCTTCTGGCTTGCTGTCGGCCACACCCCTCTGTAATTCTGGCTCCTAGCCTCCGTTCCATCATCCTGTTGTGCAGGTGACCAAATACAGTAGAGCTTGGCAAGGTGGTGCAGGGCCCAAATCCCAGCTACTCAGGAGGCTGAAGCAGGGTATCACAACTACAAGGCCCGCATGGACCACACAACCAGTTCAAGGCCTAAGCAACCTAGTGGGACCTTGTTCCAAAATAAAAGCAGCTGGGGCTAGGAATAAACAAACAAGCAACAACAAAGCCCACAGTGGATCTCCATATTGCCCTTCTCAGTTCCGTTGTACACCTCTCTCCCCAGAGCCTTAGCGGCACAAAACTCTGGGTTCTCTACAGCTTTTGACACCCCGTAGTTTTCCTCCTATCTGTATGTAGTAACATCCTGTTCGTTCACTGTTCAATCTGCCTCGCCTACTGCCAGCTCTGGGAAGACTTCCCAGGCTTGTAGCTTCCCTGTCATGCTGTGTATAACATTGGACTCCCAATCCCAGGATGCACCAGGGCTCTTACGAACAGGTCTGTATAGTGCCCAAAGCTCACTCCACTGTACCTGATACCGAGTGGTTCTGTAGGAATGCATATTGGGTTAAAGCAGTTTGAAAAAAAGATGCAGCTTCAAAAATGAAGTCTGAGTATGTCAAAGTAATCTGCCTTTAGCTGTGTAAATTGAAATAAAGTGTTCTCCTTTGCAAAGTAAATGTTTTCTTGTAGACGAATAGACAAAGAGATGTTTTCTCTGCCTGTGGCCCCAAGGTGAATGAAGTGTTAGGGAATACAGCGGTGCTGAAACGTGTTTGTGTGAAGGTGTTTAGATGTGGGAGAGCTCTGAGTTTTAGCCCACTCTTTGATATTGGACTGTGACCTCTCTTTACAGCAGGTCATATGCAAAATGATTTCATGCAGTACGGTCAGAATTTGCCATGTCCCCAATAATGTTTCCTTTCTGCTTTGAGACATTCCTGACTGGAAAGCAAGTGTGAGTCCCCGCTGTGGAAAGACAGACACCGTTTGCTCTGCAGCTCGCAATGCTTGTGTGAGAACCCTCACACCACTAACAGTGAAGTGTAGGCCTCCCAAACCTATCTGGCACCAATTCCAGCCTACTTTAATTTTGTCTCCAGCAATGGCATTTGGCAGGAAGAAGTGGTCTTTCTATGTATTTATTTATGAGTCCATTTCTCTATTCTTCTAGAATAGTCTTCTAGAAGACTTAGAAGACAGGTAGGATGGTGCCTCCCAGACAAGAACAAATCTTATGCTTAGGAATGCTCAGATCTGTGGAGTATAATGTAGTGGCATCTTGCAAGATTTTACTACAGTATAACGTATCTTGGGTATTTGTTTTGGTTCCTTGTAGCTTATCGTGTGGTAATGTGCTTTGGGAAGACACTCAGAGATCATGCCCACATTTCTGCAGACTGTACTTTCCTGACACTACCCCACCCCCACCCCACAGTTCCCCTTCTGCCTTTCTCCCCTATGACGTCACTCTCTCTATTTCCAGCTAACAGATCTCCCTCAAAGCCAGTGTTAAAACAAACATCAATGAGAATGTGTGGAATTCTAGCTGCAGAAGTTCATTGGGATGTATAGACTTTGGGACTGGTTACTTTGTGTGTGTGTGTGTGTGTGTGTGTGTGTGTGTGTTTAATTTGGAAGCTCTTTACAGGAAAGTTTTAATAATTTTTTAATATAAAGCAAGGTAGAGAAAAATGAACATCAGCTTTTCTTCATTTGGTAAAAAGCTGAAATACAACTGTGGTGTTGTGTTTGCTTCTGCCTTACTCTGACATCTCTTTCTTCCTCATAAACATTTTCAGATGTTCTCTAAAGTAAGAGTGGTGGTCATAGCTCAGTGGTAGAACACTTGTATACAAGGCTCTGGGTTCAATTCCCAGCACCACGATAAGTAAATAAATAAGGAAATCACGTGGGAATATCTTTTAATACATTTCAAAAAAATGAAAATTGTTTGCTTTTATTTCTTGTTATTTTATGCCAAAGATGTAACTTTGTGACCACCTTCTTTGCCATTAAATCTGGGTCACAGATCTGAATGCATATTTGAATTGCATTTATTCCTTGCAAGAAGCAATCTGTTTCCAGGAAAGCAGAGGGTTGTCCCATTTTGTACTGCTGGCCTACTAAATCTGCTCTGAAATCTAGTCATATTGATCTCCCCTTGTGGAATGGAAGGTTGGACCACAAGCTTCATTACACTGGTTCGGCTCAGAAATATCTTTCTGTTTTCCTTCAGTTGCTCTGTAAAATGTACAGGGCTTTCAAGGGGGCGTGGCCAGGGGGATGATAGCCTGTTTTTGTTTGAGTTCTAGTTGAAACCTGTTTAGTTCATTTTTTTCCAAGGTACTGAAGAGGGGGAAAGATCAGTATGGCGCTACAAGTTCCTAAAGTAGTTTCCACAACTTGAGCTGCTTTATTCCAGGTGGCAGAAAAGGCCTGTGTGCAAAGGAGGCTGGAAAGGAGCGGGAAGTTTGACAGGAGGCAAAGGATTGCCTGTCTTCCTCACCCTTGACCCTGCCCTACGCCTGCTTTGAAACTTAGCCGCCCCCCCACATACGCACACCACCACCTCCATTGCCATACCTGGGTCTTCTCTCCTAGGCTGGGTGTGACTACGTAGCTGGCTTTCCCAGCTGGCCCTTTTCTAAAGTCTGTGCCTCTTCCCATCCCCTTCTCACCCCCTCACAGGTCAGCAAGCACTGACAGCAGGCATTCCATGCTGGGTGGGGACCATGGCCAGCCCAAATCTGCCCCCTACTGCCACCGTGGTAGTAGAAGGCTCAGTTATTTTCCCCGAGCCTCTGAGTACTGCTTTGTGTTTTTTGGTTTTGTTTTATTATTGTTGTCGCTTTCTTGTTCTGGATTTGGCTTATGAAATCATAGTTGCACTTACAAATATGGATATATGAACCGGCAGCAGGGAATGTGATTTGTAGTGTGGCACCGGGCATCTCCCAGGTGTGGCGACCAGGCATTCTTGGAACGTGGAGGTTGAGCCCTCTGGGCTTTACCCTGATGGAGGTCATTCCTGTGCAAGGTAGCAAGTTCTTTGTGACCATGTTTGGCTACAAATCTGTGCTTGTTAAATAGGTTGGTTCCCGCCTAGTGCTGCGTGTGTCCCCTGTGCCTTCTCTCTTGTGTCAGCAGAGACGATGGGAAGTGATGAAATCAGCTCAGAGACTAAATTTAGTAGGGCTGATCTTACCAACTCCCTTACTGAAACCAAGTAAGGATATTCTGTTAGTGTCTGCAGGCCCAGGAGTTGCTTCGCTTTATAACACCAGAGGTTTATTGTTTCCTCTAAGACAGCAAGCCGTTCAGAATGGGACTGTGATTAGGTCATTGTGTGCTAATGGAGTGTTATCTGTGCTTGGAGGCACCCTGTAGAGATTTTGTCTAGGCTAGATATTTTTTTTCTCCCTAATTTTATTTGACCAGCTAATTTCAAAATCCATTTACTTGGTTTCAAGCATACCAAATAATTGGAGAGTAGAGAGGTAACAAGTGAAATGGGCTGGGTCTATCTAGGTGTGGTCCAGCCAGAGGGTGGATTGCTGCAGCGGTTAACATATTCAAGTCTCCACTGATTCTCTGGCTAAATACAGCTTGTGTGTGTGTGTGTGTGTGTGTGTGTGTGTGTGTGTGTGTGTGTGTGTGTGTCTGTGTGTGTGTGTGTGTGTGTGTGTGTGTGTGTGTGTGTGTGTAGAGAACATAGAATCTATAGAATACAAGAGGGGTTCTCCTCCCTTATAATTTTGTACATTTCTATTCTCTTAATTCCTTATTAAAGATAAACATAAATTGGTGGAATTGGAGGGTTGGTTTGGTTTGTGGTTTTGCCCTGTAATTTTTGTGAGTGTGCTTGCAGGACGGCGTGTACACTCACCTTGACTTACCAGCGCAGGACGGCGTGTACACTCACCTCGACTTACCAAACTGCTGCTAGGAATTTCTGATTTGTTTCCCACATTCGCACATTGGGTCCTGGGATCCGTTGCCACACCTTCACCCATCTCCTTGCTGTGCTTGGTCCCACCACAAGTGTGGCTTTATTTGGCACACATGTTTTGAGTCCTGCGATAAACTTGTCCTTGGAGGCTTCAAAAGGGCTCTGTGCAGCCGACTCCTGCCCTACAAAAGATGAGACCACTGAGGTAAATAAATGTGGCTGGAGAGAGATGGAAATGGACAAAGAGGAATGTTAAGTAAAGGAGGTGAGGACAGAGAGAGTCGGCCCAAAAGACACCCAGTCTCTTTGGGTGTGGCAGGCTGCTCCTGAGGGACAGAAAGACTGTCCTCCTTCTAGGGTCAGTGTGTAGGAGCCCATGTAGGGTGCTGAGTTTCTTCAGTGGACAGCCTCCCCACAGAAGGGTAGCCTGTGCCCCCGGAATGCACATTATCATCCCAGTCCTTGGATTCGTGAAGTACAGGCGAGTGTGAACACAGGTGTGAAGCCACTTTGTAGGTGTGAGATATCTCAGGGAAGCACAGAACACATCCATCCAAGTTCCAGAAAACTGGGCAGGTGTCAAACGACTGTTAGCTTTGACATCTATCCCCGTATCTCACTTTTAGCTTCTGCTGGAGTCTCTTCAGCATGATGGTAAACACCAGGAATAAAGACAAATCCAAAACAAACAGCTAGGTGAAAATAGATGGTCTGTGATGTATGTGTGTTTTATTGAAAGCTCTCTATCTATCTATCTATCTATCTACCTCTCTTTATCTATCTACCCCTCTCTGTGTGTGTCTGT